ATTTAAAATTCTTCAAGATGCAAAGGAATGAGGGGGATTGGGACTGCCTGATTTGAAACTGTATTTTGTAGCTTGCAGTTTGGTTTGGATGAAATAATGGGTGTTGCTGAGAAATAAGAGGATTTTAGAACTGGAAGAACATGATCAGAGATTTGGATGGCATGTTTTTTTTTATGGTATGATAAAATTAAGGTAGATTTTAAAAATCATTATGTCAAAAGACATTGAGAATACAGAATAGACACAAACGCAGGTTGTACTTGAAAACACCTTTGTGGATCTCAGCACAAGAAGCATTTTATAGGAAAAAAACAGTAGGTAAAGAGAAATGGTTGACATACTGTAAGTTGTTAGAACAAGAACATGGAGAATGTAAGATGAAGTCAAAAGACCATCTGATTGATGAAGAATTCAGTTTTCAATGGTTCTCATATGTATAGTTGAGAGAAAGATTTAAAGTAGATGAAAGGGCACTTGGAATTATACAACATAAGACAGAATTTGAAAGTGAATTATGTGCTAATGATGAATATGTAATTGCTAAAATGTATAAGTTTTTACTGAGATTTGAGATGGAAAAAGAACAAGATAAAGAGTGAATGATAAAATGGGCTAAAAACTTTGGCTATAATATAAGATGGATCAATGGGAAAATCTGTGGTTGAAAGGACTGAAATTTACATTATGTTACAATTTAAAAAAGAACTTTATAAAATGATGTACCATTGGTATATGACACTGGAAAAAGCTTTCTAGAAGGTGTAAAGGTACCTCAAATTTATGTTGTAAATGTGAAAAACATGAAGGGTCATTTTATCATGTTTGGTAGGCTTGCAAAAAATCTAGAAATGTTGGGGTTCAAATACATATAGGAATAGAATTTTAAAGACTAATATTCAAGTGAAACCAGAGCTTTCCTTGCTGGGACTAATGGACAAACAACTGGAAAAGACTTATGGACAATTCTTTTTGTACATGGTAACCAAAATTATTATATGTACAAAGATGGAAAGACTCTGAAATACCTACAATGGAGGAATGGTTGGTGAAGATGACAGAACTTGCAGAGATGGCAAAATTGACTTATTTAATTAAAGAAAAGACAGTAACTACATTTGTCAGTGACTGGAACCCCTTTATGGATTTTTTGCTGAAAACAGAAAAAATGTACTTGTGATTTATGGGTTTGATGATTAGAAAGGGTAGATTATGAAAGGGTGAAAAACTAAGTACCCCTTATGATTCAATAGCTTGTAGAACCACCTTTAGCAGCAA